CTTTGGGCTCCTTCCTCCCGCCGGCTCCGCCGCGGATCTCCGCCTCTGCCTTGGTCGCCAGAGCCCTCGGCTCCACCCTGGCCCCCCGATCCTCTGCATCCCCCTGGCTCGTTGGCTCTCCACCTCGGGCTCCTCCGCCACCTGCTCTGCCGCCGTTGGTCGGCCCCCTGGAGTCGGCGGTCATTCCTCCTCCATGGCTCCTCCCTCTGTCGGCTCCACCGTGGGTCACCATCATGGCTGTGGCCTGGGTCCTGCTTGACTCCTCCTGCTCCAAGTTCTTCCTGTTTCCTCCCTGGCTCCTCTCTCCATCGTCACCTCCCTGGTCTCTGTCTGCCAGCCCCCTGTCCTCCTACTGAGCCGCCTCCCAAGTTCCCACCTGTGCCCCCCCTCTGGAGGAGAGGGCTCCAGTCCCCGAATCCAGTCCTGAGCACCCTCCAGTGCCCGCTCCTAGAAAGCGCCCTCCAGTGCCTGCTCCTTGAAAGCGCCCTCAAGTGTCCGCTCCTCTAGAGCACCATCTTGTTCCCGTGTTCAGCCTAGAGGGGGCTCCCGATCCAGAGTTTAGCCCTGAATGCCCGGAGGCTCTCAAATGCCCCCCCTCCCACCCGCTCATGCCTCCTCCACCGCTCATGCCTCTCGGTCGCCGGAGTCATCAGTTCCACCTCGGCCCTCCGGATCCTCCTCGTCACCCTGGCTCATCGACTCTCCATCTCTGCCTCGGGCTCCTCCGCCGCCGTTGGTCGCCCCCCTGGAGTTGTCAGCCTTCCTCCTCCATGGCTCCTCCCTCTGTCGGCTCCACCGTGGGTCACCATCATGGCTGTGGCCTGGGACCTGCTTGGCTCCTCCTGCTCCAAGCCCCTCCGGTCTCCTCCCTGGCTCCTCCCTCTTTCATCGCCTCCCTGGTCTCTGTCTGCCGGCCTCCTTATTTGGTCATGTTCCTGTCCTCGTCTAGTTTGATTATGTTCCATTGATGTCACCTATGTTCCCCTGATTGCCCTGTGTTTAAAAGTCCTAGTCTGTTCAGTTTGTGTTTGTCAGGTCTACTTGTTTCTACGTGTGTTTGCCCAGCATATGAGATGAAAACACTTCTGTAAGCCACTTTGGAGAAGAGCATCTTCTAAAAGCCTTAAATACGTCCATCTGTTTTTTTCTGAAACATGTTGAATGTAGAGCCAACATGGAACATATTTTAAAAATAAATTGCCTAATCAAATATTTATGTTGAAAACGGCCCCTTTTCTTGTATCTATGTAAGAAAATGTTTGTTTATTTTAGTTATTTTAAAGTTTTTTGTATTGGATAATCTCTACTAAGTAATTGTAATTTGCACACTGTTGTCAGACTATTACTGATGGATGGCAAGAAAATGTCATGTAATATGAGCAGTACAGCAATTGTGGTACTGTGACATCTGTGTAGTGAATCTCACATATTTTTCTTTATTAGTGAGAAATGTGCAGTTGCATTAACCTGCATTAAATTGAAATGCAGTTGCATGCATTCTGCTGGAAAAACATCCATCACAACCTTTCAGAAGAGAGATGTTTATTGTGCTTCAGCCCGTGTCCTTCAGCACTGCAGTCCGCTAAAGGTCACACAGGAATCGTGCCTGGAGACAGCTTAATTGGAAATCAAACACAGACTGTGAGAAAGGGAGAAAGAAAGAAGGCAACAGATGTTAAAGGAGGGAAAGGGGACACGAGTCAAAGAAACAGACAGGTATAAGGAAAAAGCACAGAGTGAAAACTCTCAAGACCAATATTGATTTACGGTGAAAAGAAAAATGAGGCCAGCGGTGGGTGTGGTGTCGAGAGAGAGTGATAAATAAAAAATTAAATGTCCTGACACTGGGTTGGACAGAAATCAATGGAAATAATAATGTTACAATGCACATTTTCATTAGTCTGGGGAGAGGCTGAAGGCGGTCCGCATGTCTAATGTATCAGTCAAAGCGAGCAGGTCTGTGCGTACTCTCTTATTTGTTTTATGAATACAATTTGCGGCACACTTCAGGGCAGATTATATCACAGGGAATGTTTTGAGTTTTCGCTCTGACATACTGTCTCCTTATAAGCCAATGCAATGTAAATAAATAATCATGCATCCTGTTTTAACATTCTGGGCTGGATTATGGGTCAGGACAGTGGACCTCGAACTGTCAGGGGCTTCTAAAGCTGACTTACAGAGATGTGAATGTGCATTTGTAGCGTACTTCAAATCTTAAAAGTATATATTTTTTAAAACTGTATTTGCAAATAATATCTTAATGAAATGAAAGGCCACATAATTAAAGAAAGCACACTTAACTGTGTCTTAACATTTAAAGTAATAGTTTGCACAGAAATGAAAAATTTTGTCATCATTTAGTCACCCTCAAGTTGTTCCAAACCTGTAGTAGTTTCTTTCTTCTGTTGAACACAAACGTAGAAATTTCGAAGAATGTTGGTAACCAAAAAGCTGGTAACCATTTTTTCCATTCAGTCAGTGGCTACCAGCAACTGTTTGGTGACCAACATTCTTCAAAATATCTTCTTTTGCATTCAACAGAAGAAAGAAACTACTAGAGGTTTGGAACAACTTGAGGGTGACTAAATAATGACTATCCCTTGAAGTACACTTTTAGGTACAACTAATTGTATCTAGTATAAATTAAAAACTATAATAATTTTTTTAATGAATAGTAATTAACAGACAATTAAAGGAATAGTTCTCCCAAAAATTTAAATTTACAGGAAAAATTATTCACCCTCAGGCAAGATATAGATGAGTTTGTTTCCAAAAACAGATTTGGAGAAATTTACTGTTACATCACTTGCTCACCAATGGATCCTCTGCAGTGAATGGGTGCCGTCAAAATGAAAGACCAAACAGCTTTTAAAAACCACTCCAGAATCCACTCCAGTCCATCAATTAATGAAGTGAAAAGCTGTGTGTTTGTAAGAAACAATATGTTAATTCATTTTACCTTTAAACAATTCCCATCTGTTCTGATGAAGAAAACAGCCACCTACATTTTGAATGTCCTGAGGGTGAGTACATTTTCAGCTAATTTTCATTTTTGAGTGAATTATTCCGTTAAGTGTCCAAAAACATTACATTCAGTTTGCATTCCGTTTGTACAGTCTATTTTAATGTTCAGGGCTGGCACAGTGAGCTTCAGACTGTCAGGGACACCAGAGGCCCTTGGGACATTTATCAGACCACCTGAGTCCTTTGCCCTTTGCTTCATCGAGTGCATAGAGTGCAAGCATAAAACAAGAGTGCACAGCATAAAACAGAGTGCACAGAGTGCAAGCATAAAACAAGTGTCCCTTACAGTATGAGGGCCCACAGCAATAGTATCCAGCTGCAGACCCGCAGCACCAGCAGTTTCAGAACATTAAACGTATGATAGCAAAAACATTAGACTACTCACCATGCTCTCTCGTTGTCAATAACTCCGCCCCTCACTTCCGGTTCTATGGCTGCGGTTCTGAAACTGCTGGTGCTGCGGGTCTGCAGCTGGATATATCTCGCCCACAGATTTCTCTGCACGCACAGTGCAATGTAAAAACCTATACATTCAGGGGCCTCTCACGACTTCATCTCACCCTGTTAATCTTCGATTGAGCAATAATAAAAATATATATATATATTAATGTGCTCCCTCATTTTTGGTCTATATTGTTAAAAGACCATTTTCTTTCTTTAATCATTCCGCTTCATTGTCATTTAATTTGTTTTTAATTGTGAACAAGCCATCACTAACTGATGAATCATTCAATTAGTTTCCCTTCAGTCTGTCCTTTGGGACCCATGTTTTACTCCCTAATTGAGTTGGAGAAATGTACTGCAGACATCTCACCTCATCCCAGCACGCAAGTGAACCGAGACTGCTTAAAACCCAATCAATATTTCCCTCTTGAAACGTTCTTTCCTCATCTTTTATTTCCTTCTCATCTTTTTTTGTATAAAGAAGTCACACATATATAAAGAGGATTCGCTGGGGTGGTGCTTTTTTGGAGAAAAAAAAAAAAGATTATTATAGATATAAGATATCTCAGCCAGCCTATTATTATACTGAAGAAGCTGTGTCATTCCTTAGTGAATCAACTTTTATTTTTCTTGATTTATTTTCACATGGAAATACTTTCAAAAGATATTCCCTTAAGGAGACAATTATGACTGAAGTGGAGTTGTCTAGATGAAATTTGTATTGAAAAATAGGGTGTTTGTACCCAGTGACACTGATTGTTATTCAACATGTTGCCTAGCTTGTTAGCGTATTTATTAATTAACATGATATGGTCTAGATATGGAGAGCAACTCGTATTTACAGATGCTATTCCCATGATACAATGCAAGAAAGTATCTTAATCCTTGATCTCTGTAATGGTATGTTAATAGAGCACATTTAATTTTGCTTTTGGCAAGATATGGCACATAAAGATGTGGTGTGGTGAATCAAAAGTGCATTTATATTTATGTTTAGTAAACACAGGGGAGTGGTTAGTGTAGAAACCTTGAAATGCCTCCTAGTGCTTACTCTGCCTGGACTGATGTGATTATAGTAGCTTTGAGCTTTGCTCAGCACCAGTGGTTAATATTTCAGAATCTGCTGAATCCTACATAGCAGGAATTTAAATTCACTTCCCTCTTGGGGGGGCACATTAATGGTGCTCATTTACACAAGAACTAAAATCTGATTTTTCCATAATACCGTCTTGCATTTTATGAATGTTTCCCAACTCATTGTCCTACAGAGATTCAGATTTGTGTGTATGTGTGTGTGTGTAATAAGTGTGACTCGTTAATATGTCTCATTCATATTCTTACATTAACAAAATATAATTTTTATTAACATGAGAAAAAATAATGATAAAAGTCTAAATTAGCATAGAGGTACATCTCAGTACAATGTAAATGTGTAGATTGTGATGGAATTACTGCCATCTCTTGGTATGAAGAAGATGTGTAGTCTTGCTGTGTTTGCTGAATAAACTATTATTTCTCAAATCCACAAAAAGATTGTACTGCTGTGATTGTACTTTTGGAACAAACACTGCGATACTGTTAGGCATTTAACCTCAGTTGCTAATGCCAAGTGATAGTAATATACTAACTGCAATAAATAACATTTGTCAATTTTTAATGTATGTATAACTTTTATATATTTAATATATATCTTATGTATACTATACATTACAAAAGGCAGGATTAATACAACTGAAAAATTACCTCATTAAATTAAAATGACAGTTTTATGGCTTTTATTTTATCAAGGTTTATTAGCTTGAATATAGCTAATTAATATATAAATAAAGAAATATATGGCAGGAATAGTAACAGTACGACGCTAGAACGCTATGATGAATTAAGTTAACTGAAGGTTTTTCTGCGTAAGGACTACAGCTACCACAAGTAATGTGAGTTGACGTGCTTGACCAAACAAGATAACTGTAGTCCGGGGGCCCGTTCTTCGTACGTCGCTTATTACATCAGAGATTAAATGTCACATCCAAGATGATATCATCGCGCTAATCAGGATCTGGCTAATTGGGTTCTCCGAACGCACCTGTTGTTGATGATTAGTATGGCTGGATTGAGTTTTCTGAGATAATTGCGTGTTCATGGGTTGGTTTAAAAGGGGCTATGTATCGATACTCGAAACCACGATCAGCAACGCAGCGATTGGCTGGCGACAAGACAGCAACGTAATGACATGATATAATTAAAAAAGACACCTGACGAAAAACTACCCCGTTGCACACCGTTTCCAGGAAACATGTCGTTCAACCCGGAAACCGTAGCAAAGCGGTGCACACCGGTTTGAGCTTGAACTTGCCCCAGGTTTAAGCTTACGGACCTGTTGCTATGACAGCAACTCCGGGATGAGCTTCGAAGAACCAAACAATCCAAGATCATGCCAAATCGTCAACAATCAAATCCAGCTAACTGAGTTAGCGACGTACGAAGAACGGGCCCCTTATTAGCAACCTGTTTATTATTATTATTATTATTATTAACAGCAACAACAACAACAACAGAGCGTCTTCAAAAAGCCACGTTTTAAACAAAATGTGGAATTCTTATTAGCACAAGAGTTTTAAAAATTTTACAACATAAATATAAAGTCTTAAGATGAGTTTGATAGCGGTCGCCTTGGATTTGTGGCTAAAGCAGGCCAATAAATTGCAAAAATTAACATGCGGTATGTACGGTGCACATGCGCAAGTAGATATAACTGCAGACCGGAGATCTCCAAAATGGGGCGTGAACTCCAAAATTTCTAGTTCATCTAAAATAAAATATGCTATATAAATAAATATTCTCTGTGAGAGCAAAGCCCAAAGCTCGTGGCCAGTGGTGTTCGGACTGGAGTTTGAACCTATATATTGAACCTATATATATTGGCTTTGTTCTAAGCAACGGGGGTGTCCCGGGGCTTGAAATTCGTCTCTTAACAGAACTGGCAGGCAAAGCCAATGCATCTCCAAAGAAGAAAGTGCAAGCAAAGTTAAATAACAGTGGGCAGCTGTCAGCACCGCTAGCTGATCCAACAGTCAATGCTCCTCGCAAGTTTTCTGGCTTTACAGGTACAACACTAAGAGAGTTGCACAAAATGTTTTTTTTTTTGCTGATATTTTTTGTTGTTTTTGCTTTTTGTGCACAATCAGCTTGTAACACTCCAAAGAGAAAGGAAAACTTGAAATCGCATCATATGACCCCTTTAATATTTGAAATTGATCTTTTTTTGTAATGAAGTCTTTACTGTCACATTTGATCAATTTAAAGCAGCTTTACTGAATAAAAGAAATACTAAAAAAGAAAAAAAAATCCTAATTGTCTCCAACCCTGTGAATAGTAATGTAACTTGGTTGCTGTAGAGACCGTAGAGATTTAAATATAATATACATTGTCCAAAATTAACTTTTACCAGCCATAAATATTACTGATAATGAATTATATTACAGTATTCCTGCAATATTGTATTTTTGTGCTGTATATTTTAAATATATTTTTATCTCTATATATATAGTTTTTTTAAATTATTTTTTCTTTACTTTAAGGAATAAAAGGTTATATGTACAAATTATCTTTGTAGTCACTTAGTACTGTGTATGGAGACAGATGCAAACGTTTTTTTCCAAGATATTTTTTTCTTTTAAATAAGCATTTTTATCAGGTTCTTATGTTTCACTCTAACTGCAAAAAAAAAGGTTATTAGTCAGTTATTAAATGGCTTATTTTCAAAAATGTCCAGTGTTATTTTCATAGGAGCCTGATAAAAATGCTAATTTAAAAGAAAAATCTCTGACGAACTTGGAGGTTTTTGCATCTGAAGTCTTCATATAGACATTTAGTGTATCTTGGTTTAAATTAGCATGGACGAGTATCAGATTATTCTCACTATTTCGTTTTATAAAATGTCTTACCAACTGGCAAGTAATTCTCTTGACCCACCAAAGATAATTTTGGACAAAAGTTCATTTTGGACAGCTATGATATAGATGTATAATCTATCATGTAATACTGTCATGCTCTACCAACTTAATACAAAGATTATCATGTGTCCACAGCTACCAAGGCAGGTTCCTCTTCCTCCAGTCCTGGACCATCTCCAGCCAAACTCACTCAGGGTAGCGCTTTATCAGCTCAGCTATGTGATCCCAACCATAAAGACTGCTTACTGCGGGAGTTCCGCAAACTTTGTGCCTTAGTCGCAGAGAAGTCCAGCTATAACGCCAAGACCGAGATCATCAGAGACTTCTTAACAAAAGGCTCTGGTGGAGGTGAGCATTGAAACTATGGGCCAACATGAACACAAATAGCTTAAAAAGTGTTTTCAAAAGCATATTTTTTTGTTCTCTGTTAATATGCCTACCACATCTTTACAGACAAATTCCGAGGAGATTTGTACCTGACAGTGAAGCTTCTCCTCCCAGGAGTGGTTAAGAATGTGTACAACCTCAATGACAAACAAATTGTCAAGCTTTTCAGCCGCATATTGAATTGCAGTCAGGATGAGATGGTGCAAGACTTGGAACAGGTTTGTCACATTGCTTAACATATTTATTTTTCAAAAGAAGTCAGTTGTGTTGAGAAATACTTGACCTTTTTCTTTACTGATCTTTATCGGTTTCATATAGGGTGATGTTTCAGAGACGGTGCGGATGTTTTTTGAGGACAGCAAGTCTTTCCCTCCAGCAGCCAAGAGTCTTCTAACTATTCAGGAGGTTGATGCTTCACTAAGCCGTCTGTCCCAACTCACAAAGGAGGATGATCAGCAGGCAGAGCTGCAGGATATTGCTAAAAAGTCATTTTTAGAATTTGATTATATAAAATTCTTATTACAAATGTTTGAATTTTGAGAATGTTAACTTAAAATGTCTTTCTTGATTCCCAGATGCACCGGAAATGATCTGAAGTGTTACATTCGTTTGGTCAAACATGATCTGAAAATCAACTCTGGGGCTAAGCATGTGTGAGTGTCGCTAGCAAATTGTACCTAATGGCATTGTGTTTATTCTGTCTTACTCGGTGTGAATTTTCTCTCATCAGTTTGGATGCTGTGGACCCCAACGCCCATGATGCCTTCAAAGCCTCTCGTAACCTGGGTGACGTAATTGACCGGGTGCTACGGAACCAGCAGGATGCTTCTAATGGGACAGGGCCCAGAAAGATCCTCAGCGTGGAGGCGTCTCTGATGACCCCCGTACAGCCAATGCTGGTCTGAATCGCAGATAATTGAATAAGTTCACCAAAAAAAAGTTTTGTCATTTACTCATCCTCATGTTGCTCCGAAACTGTGTGAATTACTTTCTTCTGTGGAATATAAAAGAGGATATTTTGAAAAAAAAAAATATATATATATATATATATATAGATGTACTGTATATTAATATATCTCCTTTGAGGTTCCACAGAAGAAAGTCACACAGGTTTGGAATGGAATTTAGAATAATTTTTTTTTGGATGAGCTGTCTTTTTAATTAAATATTCTTCAATTACAACCAAAAAACCCCAAAAGATTATGCTTATGTTATAAAAAATTTGTTTTTATTCTTGTAGGCAGAAGCATGTAAGTCCATCGAGTATGCCATGAAGAAATGTCCTAATGGGATGTATTCTGAGATCAAGTATGATGGCGAGCGTGTGCAGGTCCACAAGAACGGCAATCACTTCAGTTACTTCAGTCGAAGTCTCAAACCAGTACTCCCACACAAGGTCAGGACCTCCAGTCGAGGGATGTTTATATACATGTTTAAAACCATTAAAATATATTGTAAAGAGTTTGATTTTCTCCCACAGGTTGCCCATTTTAAAGATTTCATACCGCAAGCATTTCCTGGTGGCCATAGTATGATCCTTGATGCTGAAGTTCTTCTTATTGATACAAAGACTAGCAAACCACTGCCTTTTGGGACTCTTGGGGTACACAAGGTAAACCAGAAAGCAATGCGTTTTGATGTTCTTTAAAGGATTAGTTAAATCTACCTAAAATGGCATTATCCTACTCATTCTGATGTAACTTGACTTTCATTCGTCTGAATGGATGCTGTAAAAAAAAAAAAAGGCATAATAAAATGAATCCACGTAAACTCATGCACTATGCTACTGTTCAAAAGTTTGGGATAGGTACGATTTTTTATTTTTTAATTGTTTTTGATATAAGTGTCTTATGCTCACCCAGGCTGGATGTATTTGAGTATAAATAAAGTAAAACAGTAATATTGTCCAATATTATTACTACTTATTTATTAATAATTTTTTATATAATACATATTGATTTTATTGATGATCAATATTTAATTTTATATTAATACATTTGTTCAGTTTTTTTTTTGATGAATAGAAAGAACAGTATGTTTGAAATGGAAATCTTTTGTAACATTATAAATGCCTTTACTGTTACTTTTGATCACTTTAATGTATGCTTGCTGAATAATAGTATTAATTTCTTTTTTGTGTGTGTTTTTAGAAAGCAGCTTTCCAGGATGCTCAAGTGGGTCTGTTCGTATTCGACTGCATTTATTTCAATGGTGTCAGTCTTATGGACAAGTGAGTCAACCTAAAGGAATGCATTTTTCATTTATCTGAAAGATATTGCAGGTTTTGGAGAAAAATGAAACATTTATATTAAATGTTGATTGAGGTTTTCATGGTAAGACTCAAAAGATGTTGATGTGGTGATGTTTTCCAGGCCTCTCTGTGAGAGAAGAAAGCTTCTCCATGACAATATGGTGGAAGTTCCTAACAGGATTCTGTTCTCAGAAATGAAGCATGTTACGGTCAGTTGTGCAGTGTTTTTTATATGCTTTTCTTTCTCTACTCATCATGCATATGTTCTCAATGTTCAAGAATGCTTACAAATGTGTAGGCAGGTCAAGTTAATTAAAAGTTTGTTATGATAAGACTTCAGGGTGGATGATTTTATAAAGCTAATGACATTGTGTCCCAACAGAGAGCTGCTGATCTGGCAGAAATTATCACACGTGTCATCAGAGAAGGACTTGAGGGTTTGGTTCTGAAGGATATCAAGGTATAGCCTGAGTATGATCTGAGTGTGATTATAGCATATAATAGATTTGCATGCCAACACATTTTTCTTTTCAGAAAGGTGTTCTAATATGTTTTCCATGGCACTGCAAATAAAACTGGCCAACCAATAACTGCACTACTGGTTACATGAGTCGCTGCTGTTACATAAACCTATAATTTGGTGGCACTCTTAAACAGTTTTTCCTAAGCAACAGTGAATAGCAGAGGAAGAAACTGGAACCCACTCTTTTTATACACACTGGTCGGAAAAGACAAGTCACATTAAAAGAATTGACCTAATTTGTAAAAATATTAAGTAGTATGATACACCAATGTTAATGGCTGCCAAAAACTGAAGCATTCTGACAGCTTATGGCTTTAAAATGAAAAAGTGCCAGTGCATTTGTGTTTGTTTGGGTCACTTCATGGTTTTGTTGCTGTTTCAGGGGCATTATGAACCAGGAAAACGTCACTGGTTGAAGGTGAAAAAGGACTATCTGAACGAAGGAGCAATGGCGGACACCGCTGACCTCGTGGTGCTTGGTGCTTTCTATGGCAAAGGCTCAAATGGTCAGTATCGGCAGTCCAATCCAAATGGTTTTAAACAATAACTGAACTTCAGAGTAGCTAGAGAGAAATATTATGTTTTTCTGTGTGCCAGGTGGAATTATGTCCAGTTTCCTTATGGGATGCTACGACCCAGAATCCAAGAAGTGGTGCACTGTGACCAAATGTTCAGGAGGCTATGACGACGCCACCTTAGCCAGACTGCAGAAGGAGTTGGACGTCATCAAAATTGGCAAGGTAAATCTCATGATTTAATCAGTAGTGCCTCCATTGCCGTATCAGATTTATGAACGATGTATCTCATAAGTTTCCTATCTATCTTGCTTTCCCAGGATCCAAGCAAGATCCCAGGATGGTTGAAGATCGTCAAGAACTATTACCCAGATTTCATTATCCGAGATCCAGAAGTAAGACTCTTCCTAATACGACCGAAGGGATGCTTAATGTTTATGTGCTTGTAATGTGAAATGAGCTTGATGAGGCTCTGTTAAAAGCCTGGTTACAGTTGAGTATGTGATAGAAAAATGGCAATGAAGGAACTTTATTGGCTTGTTATCTCTTTAACTCAGAAGAATGTGTTTAATAGACCGTACAACACTTAAATGTTTAAGATGTTTGTACTGAATTGAAACTGTAGTAGTTTGTGTTGTGTATTGGACTATCAGGAATAATATCCTGTATGTCAATGTTTACAGAAAGCACCAGTGTGGGAAATAACAGGAGCTGAGTTTTCCAAATCAGAAATGCACACTGCAGATGGCATATCCATCCGCTTCCCACGATGCACTCGAATGCGAGACGACAAAGATTGGAAGACCGCCACAAACCTTCAGCAGCTCAAGGTACCCTTGATTGGAAAATATTTGCATATTCGTATGCATTTTACATAGAGATGCAACCAGGAACTGTAGGATGTGCCATCAAGCGTCTCAAAGATAATGTTACATGTCTTTTCATAGCATGTTCAAAATGATAAATCAAAGTGAAATAAGTGGACATGAACTAAAAATTCAAATATTAACCATGTGTTTTAGAAATGCATGGTATATACAAGGATGAGTCATTCACGATAAGAGCCACATTTTTTGTTGTTGTTGTTTTGACCACAGAATGTTTAATCAAAATGTCATAACTCAATCTTCCGGTAAAATGGCATATTTTTCTCTGTATGCCGAACTTCTCCATTCATTTAGTCTGCTTAAACTCCACCCATCTACAATTGACTACAAGCTCGCATTCATTTTTTTTAGTGCAATGCCAACATCACAAAATCCAGTCAACATCTGATGGGTACAACCATCCCCATCCATTTTTTTTTTTCTGTAATGTCACAGTTGGATACAAGTTACTATAGGAAAGAATTGCAACTTTAAATAAATGATCTTTCTTATAAATAAAAAAATATTTCCCCCTGCAAACTATTAGGTTGGTTTGTAAATCAAATATTGTAATCTTTTTTTTTTTTACTAAATATTTTATTTATTTTTTGCAGGAGCTGTATCGTATTTCAAAGGAGAACTGTGATTTTGAGGTGACAGCTGGTCCGTCCAAAACTAGCCAAAATGACAAGAGCTCCTCAGGAGGTGAGAGTGGAGGAAGCTCTCTCTCTGCATCTCATGGAGCTTCCACAGCTAACAAGACCAGTAAGTGTTCACCATGAACAGATCCTGTTTGGTCTGTAGTTGTCAAGTGTGACATCTGCATCATAAAAGTACCATTTAAAAAAGTTCTTACATTCTATAATTGTTCCAACTGTTCAGAAAACGGTCATGCTCCCAAAGCAAAGGCAGTGAAAACAGAATCATCTTCTCCAGCAGTTAAGAGGAAACTACCCGCAGAGAAACAAGATGCCAAGAAGGTTTGTTATCTGACGAACCCATATATGCTATACAATACTATTCAAAAGTTTAAGGTCATTAAGATGTTAATGATGTTTTTTTTTTAAAGTCTCTTATGCTCACCAAGGCTGCATTTATTTGATCAAAATGCAGTAAAACAGTAATGTTGTCAGATATTATTACAATTTATTTGAATGAACTGTTTTAATAGATTTTATAATGTAATTTATTCCTATGATGGTAAAGCTGATTTTCAGCAGCCATTACTCCAGGCTTCAGTGTCACATGATCCTTCAGAAATCATTCTATCATGCTGATTTGGTGCTCAAAAAACATTTACTATTATTATCAATTTTGAAAATGGTTGTGCTGCTTGCTTACTGGCCTAAACTTAACTTAGCTACCCCAAACTTTGAAACGGCAGCGTATTTTCTTTGAACACAGGTTTCATTTATCTGTTTTTAGATCATCTCTCCACTCAAACCCTGTGATCTTGTTCTATTTCAGATAAAAACAGAACCCGTTCACAATTTATTTGAATGAACTGTTTTAATAGATTTTATAATGTAATTTATTCCTATGATGGTAAAGCTGATTTTCAGCAGCCATTACTCCAGGCTTCAGTGTCACATGATCCTTCAGAAATCATTCTATCATGCTGATTTGGTGCTCAAAAAACATTTACTATTATTATCAATTTTGAAAATGGTTGTGCTGCTTGCTTACTGGCCTAAACTTAACTTAGCTACCCCAAACTTTGAAACGGCAGCGTATTTTCTTTGAACACAGGTTTCATTTATCTGTTTTTAGATCATCTCTCCACTCAAACCCTGTGATCTTGTTCTATTTCAGATAAAAACAGAACCCGTTCACAGCAATGGACAAAGCAAATTGAAGACTGTTCAAACAACTGACCCAAAAAATGAAAAGGTTTTTTTTTTTTAACCTCTTTTGTACTTAAAGGGCACCTATTATGCCCCTTTTTACAAGATGTAATACAAGTCTGAGGTGTCCCCAGAATGTGTCTGTGAAGTTACAGCTCAAAATACCCTACAATAATTTATTATATCATTTTGAAAATGCCTATTTTGAGTGGAAGCAGAAACAGGCTGTCTCTTTAAATGCAAATGAGCTGCTGCTCCCTGCCTCCTTTTTCCTTAATAGGGCTGTGCCTTTACATCTCGTACCTCAGATACTTTGTCAAAAAACATGTTGTTTTATTACATCTATCATGCTGAAATCATGTGTTTTAAAGCCATATCAGTTTAAACTTCTGATAATACGGTTTTCTGAGCGCACACATCCAAAGCATGCGCACAGAAAGCTGCCGTCACACGGCATGCAAGCTAATCAATGTCTTCAGGATTACTAAGGCTATAGGCAGGTGAGTTTTTTTTTTTCAGGGTTGGAGCTGAACTCTTCAGGACCGCGGCTCTCTAGGACCGAACTTGCCTACCCCTGCCATAGACTGTATAAAAACATGGACGTGGTGTCTGTGGTCAAAATACCCTACAATAATTTATTATATCATTTTGAAAATGCCTATTTTGAGTGGAAGCAGAAACAGGCTGTCTCTTTAAATGCAAATGAGCTGCTGCTCCCTGCCTCCTTTTTCCTTAATAGGGCTGTGCCTTTACATCTCGTACCTCAGATACTTTGTCAAAAAACATGTTGTTTTATTACATCTATCATGCTGAAATCATGTGTTTTAAAGCCATATCAGTTTAAACTTCTGATAATACGGTTTTCTGAGCGCACACATCCAAAGCATGCGCACAGAAAGCTGCCGTCACACGGCATGCGAGTACTACACTGTTCTCTTTCATGTCTTATTGCACTTAAACTGTCGAATACACACAAGTTTGTTAAAGGGGTCATCGGATGCAAAATTCACTTTACATGTTGTTTGAACATAAATGTGTCGAAAGTGTGTGTACACATCCACCCTATAATGATAAAAATCCCCCCAGTGTTTTTTTTTTTTTTAAATCCCTATTTTGAAAATCCCCTTTCTCAAATCAGGCTGTTCTGAGATTCCTGGCAGAATGACCTAGTTCTGCACAGGCCCCTCCCATGATAGTTGATTGACAAGGCCGTTTTACCTTAAACCCTCTCGGCTGAAGTTTAGTCTGCTCGTCACCATAGACCAGGGGTAGGCAAGTTCGGTCCTAACCGAAAATGGGCAAAGAGGCGGGAGCTGGTTGCTGAAACCACGCCTTTCAACATGGGGAGTCTATGGGACTGATTCATAGACTTTTCATTAAGACCCTAAAGAATCATATCAACTTGTGGAAAATGGGCATCCGATGACCCCTTTAAGAAAACACAAGTTACAAAAACTGTCGGTTATGTATGTGAAGGTAAACAGCTGGGAAAGAAATCGCATGTTTATATTAGATCTGTGTAAAGTTATTAAGTGACAGCAGTGTGTTGAAAACCTGTGACTTAACTTTTATCCGAAGATATTCTACATAATGTTTAAACTGTTTTTGCCTACACAGTGAAAGTCAGAGTGGCCAAAAAACACTGGACCCCACTGACTTAGTGTATTAAAAAAAAATTCCTTTTAAAGCTAAAGGGTGTAATTTTGCTGTTACAATACTTCATCACCACTAAAACCCGTGTCGTCTTCCTGCAGACACTACTGGACATTTTCACAGGCGTGAAGCTCTACCTCCCAGAGTCAGTGCAGGACTTTGAGAAGCTTCGGCGCTACTTCATAGCGTACGATGGAGATTTGGCGCCAGAGTATGACTCTGCTTCAGCCACACATACACTGGGAGGGCCAGAGGATGACTGTTCAGCCCAGAGGGTCACCTCCAACTGGATCTGGGAATGCATCCGAAAGAGGAGGGTGGTTCCTCCCTGCTGAATGAGGTAGAGAGACTGCTGGAAGGACACTACCACAAAGCTCAGGCATTTTGTCCTATAATGACATTGTTCATTAGAGAACAGCAAACCGGTTTCTTCAGACTCGCAGCTACAGCAATAACGAGCTGAATGAACTTTTTCTAACCGGTGTCTCAGTTTCATGTTTTTGTTAGCTTTACCACATTGTGGTATTACACACATTGTACTAGAAAACTGTCTGTTTTCAATTTTGTTGGTTTTGACATTCTCATTATGGATTCACATATTTATCATTTTTAAACCTTGGTGACATTGACCAATGCTGCCACTCATGTCATACGCTTATTCTTCAAAGAGGTAGATAACTAATGATTTTGATTACTTCATGATACAATGTCATTTATCTGTTTTGAAAAGGATGTTTGTATGGAGTATGCTCTTGGGCACAGGATGAGTAATTAACAATACAATAGTAACAGCCGTAAGGCATGATTGTGGAATGAATAATTGTGTAGAGTAAATTGGGTAAGAGCCCTCTAGCTTAGTAATGGTAGTTGTGTGTAATTTCAACTGTTTAATCATTCTAATTAAAACAAGCCTTTTGTGCACAAAGAAATTTATTTGTACCTGAATTGTGAACACGCAACAGGGAACAGCAGTTCTGTTCTCCAACATGAGTGATTGTATGAGTGTCTGTATAACATGGCATGGGTTTTCCCCTTGTCTAATCAGTAATTTTTGGAGTTATACTGACACATAGAGGTGAGATGCAGAATAATGCAAAAATTTATTTTGTTTTTCCATTGAAAATGGTCAGTAATGTGTATTTTTACTGGTGGTGCTGAGGAAAACGAATCTGTTGTTTTTTTTAAATTTACTCATTGCTAAATGTCACTTAGAAAATAAGGTGCCAACATTATGCAAATATTTTTAAGAAAAAAAGAATGCAAGGTGTTTTTGACTTGATTAAACAGTACATATACAAAAACATTCATTCAAAGAAAGAAAATGTCTTATCACCTGTCAAAGACCACAACAGAAACAGTTTGTAGAAATATTATACATATTTACACTGACTCTAAATAGACCTCCTATATATTTTTGTCAAGGTTTACTTCTTTCCTCTAGCTTCCTCTTGCCTGAAATGGAGGTTCTCCTCTCTTCAGACCAGTGACAAAGATCAAACTCCTCTACCAGATGACAAGCCTGAAGATGATTAAAAACAACAACAACAACAGTAAATAGAGTAATGTCCCATGTGTACCCCACTAAGTAAAGACTTTATTGGGTTATTCTTGAAAATCAGGATTGTTTCCCCAAAAACCACCTGTCGTGATGATTTGGTCAGAGTTGCGGTTCGTAAGGATGAAGTCTCTGTGTCCTCCACTCTCTGCAGGAGCACACGTGTGCGTGGCACATGACTCCATGACTGTCCCAGTCCAGCCTTCAAATGCCCATTCCCATCTTTGGTCACATGGTTTGTCATCTACAGTGCAAGATTTCACAGAACCAGAATTTATTTCAAAAGACATTTCAATATTTAGTCACACACTTAATGCAAATGGAATGAAAGTTGCGACAGATCTTGTGACTTAGATCCAAGTCAAATAAATTATTGGGGGGAAAAAAAACAATCGATTGTTGATTGAATGTGGTAAGTTGGCTGAACAATTCTAAGACAATTTGCAGACAATTCTAAGAAAGAGGCAGGATTTAAGCAGACTAAATGGCTGGAGAAATCCATCTTTTTCCAATATTGCAACAAAATAATATCTTTATGGATGTATTTTTCATTATGATCTAACGTGCACTTACATTCATAAGGTGAATTTTCATTTTATGCTAACTTTCATTTTATTATCATTCACAAAGAGCAATTCCATATTATATTTTGAACAAAACAAGCAGTATTTATGCACATTAGACTTCTCCAGGCTTGGACCCACAATTTTGAAATTCAGTAATCCAGTTTTGTTTTTGTTTGTAACAGGAAACAGAAAGGTGCATACCAGTACAGCAATGTTGAAGTCTTTGGCGATCATCTTCAGCTCCCCAGCAACTTGCATCAGCAAGGACATACCTGATGCATAAGATGCTAATTAGAACAGAACATTATGATGAGTATTATGCAATATTGTAAACAAATACCCTCATTCTGTTTCCCTCCGAGCATGGATGAGAGCACAGCAGAGACTGAATCCACCATCAGCGTTTTGACTGAACCACCTCCGACAGACGCCTAGGTATCTACTGTCTGATATAAGAGCTAAGCTGTCCCAAGTGGGTCAAAACTGTGAGCCCCCAAACTCTCAGTTCCACCTGGAGAAGATAAACAGCAAGCATACGTTTTTGACCTGTTTTTTGACGTCAATGTTTGATGTCAGTTTGACGTCTTTTTGACATCAATTGCCCACTGGGTTGAATCGATTTTCAACCGGCTCGCGGTTAATCGTTACATCCCTACTAGGGAACATTCAAGAGTTCTGCTACAAACAACCACTTATATCAACAGACTTTTAAAAAGAACAATACTTACCTTCTGAAGGCCATTTGATCTCAGATGTTGAAGACATGCGAGCAAAGAGAAGACATCAAATACTCGGAACACCTTGATTTTTTGAAGTGCCTCCATCTATGTATTGAAAAGGAAAAACGTAACCTCTGGAGCACAGTATGATATAATACTGTTTAAAATAATCAACTTTAGGACACAAATGCTGTTCGTTTGGAATAGTTGAGCAAGGAAGCACTACTAATTACTAAATTATACTTTATTCACCTGCTCCTCCATATTAGGGGTCTTGGTTTGTAGCATCTGAAGCAGTCGGTTCGCACACATACCACTCTTTGTGTCAATGTAAAACACAGTCTGCTTCAGCTGGTGGGATATATTAACTGCAACACTAAAACACACCTACAAAGTGATCGAGCGACACACAGAGCATTATTGAACACACCCATTTGCCCACCCAACCCCAACAGGTAATAAATGCAGGCTAGATTTTGACATTGTAGAGCAGGATCAAGAAACTGAGAAGAGTTTCTAGGACAAAAGATCACCTGTGTTTTCCCGCTCCCTGGACTTCCTGTCAGCTCAGTTATTTCCCCCGTGTAGAGCCCAGAATCTAACAGCTTATCCAAACTGAAGACAAAACAGCACAGTTTTGCTCAGAGCCTTAATACAAAATGCATACACCTAATAATACCATTAAGAAGTTTGGGGTTGGTGAAGGTTTTTAAAAAAAATTATTTTCAAAGAAGTCTATTATGTTCACGAAGGCTGCATTTATTGATCAAAAATACAGTAAAGACAATAATATTGTGCAATATTACATTTCGTGCACTCCTATACCGCTGTCAGCTGTGTGTTTGTCGCTCAGGCCCGTTAGCCTCGAGTCTGTTAGCTTTAGCCGTCTGCAGCTGTCGTACGCACGCACTCGCGGGGGCAAAATGGTGAGTTTGAGATTTCCAGCTTGTTTTACGTTAATCGCTTAACAGGTCGTATTTGTGTGGTTGGGAATGATTGCGTAACTACTTAGCCGCATAGCTGCTCGCGTTGCATGTTGCCAGATTGAGCTGTTTCTTTGTGGGAACAGTAATGATACGTGACGTTCAGATCGGAGCTCGTAGCTAACACAGGCAGCTAGATGTCGGCGGTGTCAAAACATTTTGAGTGGCCTGTATGTACTGCATTTATAGGTGTCACAGACCCGTCAGTGATGCCCCACAAATACTTTCTAGTTAACTCACTGGAGTTTGACTTGCAGCCGTCGTGTAGATTTGACTGCTGGATATGTGCTGCAGACTATGACAATGACAATGATTATGAGGTCGAGAGATTCAGGCCGACATCGGCAGTCTAATAAGAGCAAATATGATACATAACCGAGTGTACCTGCCGGTTAGACACCTGTCTGTAAAAATAGGGAAGCTAATCCTAAGGAGTTTAACTATTATGATTTATATTTCTTCTTAACGATTCTGTTTTTTAAACGTTTCCTTTACAACTTATGAGTAAGAAATGTTTGTAAAAAAAATACTTCCCTCAGTAGTCTGTTGCCAGACTTTTCTGGATTCAGCAGATCAATTATAGGACCTAACAAATCAGAAATACGATTTATGAATTGACATTTTTGTGAAAGGTCTGTTTACACAGACTGTTTAATGGCTTTTTTTTACACACTTCGTGAGGGTAGATTAATAAAAAAAAATGTGTGTGGGGAAATAATTTAACACTTCAAAATTCCATAAAATAAAAGTTATCAATTTGGATTTCGTGGTGATTTTAAAAACTGACAGGCATGGTCACCATGATTTGTGGTTTTATGAACAGCTAAATCTTTTGCTTTTCATTTGTGGAAAAAGTATTTTAGATTTGGAACAATTTGGGACGAGTAAATAACTACAGAAACATAAAATACACAATATACATATTCCAACACAATAAAGAAGAACCCAATACAATTGCTCAGTAAATAAACTTTAATAAACATAATTAATAAAGAATTATTAATCCAAAAAAAATACTGCCACTTAGACCCGTCTATAAAAATAGTGATACGAATCATAAGGAATTTTACGATTCCTATTCTGATTCTGATTTACTTCTACTTCACAGTTCCTTTACTACTTATGAGGAAGAAATATTTGTAAAAATACCTCCCTCGACAGTCTGCTGTCATCTCTTGAGATCGTTTATAGTTTCAGCAGAACAAATATAGGACCTAACAAACCAGAGATACTATTTATGAAATTCTTGTAAAATGTCTGTTTTGTTTAATGGCATTTCACAGACTTTTAGAGGTGGCATATACGAAATTCAAGAGTTGGCCATAATTATATAAACGTATAGGCCTAGATACCAAAGTGCAGTAAACGGTAAAACTATATTGCGTTACAAACCAGTGCGTTTATGATTACAATAATGCATTTAAATAATATGATAAAATATAATTTTGCAATATCAAGAGGAGTAGTGGTCTATTTTTTTCAGAGAAAATAACTGGATGCAGCTGTCCCCGGAAGCCTTGCACATTCAAGTTGCAAAATGCGTAAAAAGGAAAAAAAAAAGAAAAAAAGGTGGTTAGTGCAGCAGCTAAGTTCCAGAAGTAAAAACCCAATTCATTTTTTTAACAATAACTTGTAAAACCTTAAAAACATATTGTGAGCTACGAGGTTGTTAATCAATGGAATATGATTCTGTTGAAACCATCAGCCCACGTTATTTGAACTTGTTTTTAAAAAAAACATAAGAATTCCTCATGAAAAACAACATTATCCATGATTCTGCAGAGAAATGTCCACCAATCATAGAATCACGACAATCAAGATAATGGCTCTTGAACATGCAATTATGCATCACTCACTGAATTAAGTTAAATATTGATGAGGTCATGTGATGAAGAATGCACATTCAAGAACCATTAATGGAACTGAACAACAAGAACAATTTGGGTCCAATATTTAGAAGAAAAAAATGATAGATTGTTGATCTTTGTAAAATTAATTTTCATATTCAGAATACAGCTGTAAGAATGAAAACATATGCCTCAACTCACAATAACGTGAGGTTGTGTTACATATGTTGCATAATGCACAAACCAGCATGAGCTTGTAATCCATGCCACGCTGTTGTTTCTTGATAGTTGCAAGATTTAATTGTCTTAATTTAATTTGTCTTTTGGTGTAAAACAGTTTTTCAGCCACCCAGAAGATGTCAGGTTATTTACTGATAGTATTGTCTCTTTATTCATTTTGTCAACTCATTGATCCAGTGTTTGTTCTATGTGTGTGGGGTGTGGTGTTTCTGCTTGCATTTCTACCCTAAACTGCTTGACAGTATCTCTGGTTGTTCTCAACACAATTGAGTTATAGTCCTCTAATTATTCTTAAGCTGCTGCAATATTTGATTTTGTAATGAGTAATCCTTTGTTAATATTGATATTGTGCGACAGAAGCAAGACTTAGAATCAAGATCTGCCATTGACTGGTGTTTAGGTGCGACACATGTCTTAATGACTCTAAAGCAAGTTGTGAAACTTCACAGTTCAGCTCTTGTCATACATAGAAGTGAAGAGAGAACAAATAATAAACTAATAAGACCCAAATATTGACTTGGAGCTATATGTTAGTGCTTAGCAAACCTTTGTGCCTTACAGGTAAGATTAACACAAACCGGTTCCTATTCAGAAGATGTCAGACGTTAATTAGAATTTACTGGAGTGTGATTAAGTGCTTGTGAATTCAATGCCAGTGTTGATGTAGGTGAAAGTTTCCCTAAGCTTGAGGGACTTCTTTTTTTCTCTTGTTGCAGGTGTTGTTGTTGAATCCACTGGAGAATCTAAAGACCTACATAAGTAACCGTCCACCGCTGGTTATTTTTATGGTCAGCGTCAGTGCTGTGGCTATCGCTTTCCTCACTATAGGATACTTCTTTAAGATCAAGGAAATCAAATCACCTGAAATGACTGAGGTAGGAAATGCCTTGGTTTAGCTCAAATGTTTGAGCTGCGAACCTTTGAAAATACTTGAGAATGTAATGGTTAATGATAAGTAGGCAGGTGTTATTTTAGTACTGTTTTATACTATTATAGTATTTATTGATATTTTAAATTAACTAATTATTTTTATATTTTCACTTTTCATTTTAATCATCGTTTCAATTTTAGTAATGTAATTTGTGTTAGTTTTTTTTGTTTTAATATTTTATATAGCTTTAATTAATTTTATTTCAGTTTTAGTAATTTATGTTTTTATTAATTTAGTATTAATTTTTATTTATTTCAGTCAGTCATCAAGGCTACATTTCTATTTATTTTTTCTATTTATTTATTTTATAGCTTAAAAAAATCTCTCTCTCTCTCTCTCTCTCTCTCTCTCTATATATATATATAATATTTAAATTCAGTTACCATAAATTATTTCTACTATTAGAAGTTTGCGGTTCCTTGATGGGAAACTACATACGTTTGAAAATTTTGAATGTGTACAGCTATATTATTTAGTGGGGAAAGACCATTCAAACAAGATTATATTTAAATAGCATACTTCATTTCTATTTTTTTATTTTCATATAATATTAGGTTATACTTTATTTCAGCATTATTTAAATGATGACAAACAGTTTTTAATAGTTTCAATTAATAATGACACTAGTAGACATACAGGTATGAAAATCATGTTCTTCTGGGCATTATTATTGATCAGGAAATGCCGGAGATAAACTTTACTTTGGAATTAATCAATTTTGTAACTTTTTTTTTTCATGCCCTCTAGGATTGGAACACCTTCCTTCTCCGATTCAATGAGGTTGACTTTTGCATCTCAGAAAACGAGACCCTCAAGCATAGCTTGAACGATTCCATCACTCAAGAGAGCACAGTGACCAGCAGTCAAACGCGATCCAGCACACAGTCACCACCCCTGCTGGAGGACCCGGGGCCGATCAACATCTCTGTGCCCATCACATTGACCCTGGATCCACTGAGGCCATTTGGGGGCTACTCTCGCAATATTACCCACCTCTATGCCAGTGTGCTTGGGCAGCAAGTTGGCCTTGCTGGTATGTCTCTATTCTTTTTTAACCTGTATGTGTTTGTTGGAAATTTACCTTGGATGTGTGCCATCTGATAGCATACCTCCACGTGGTCAGTGATTTTGTCAGCCGTTTTTTAGCTGTTTTTCACATAGACTGTTTCCTTTTAGACTTGCATATTTACTAAGCAATAAGAATTTTGCACTTCCTTGATAGGAAACTACCTGTGTTTGGATGTGTACAGCTATATTCGCCAGTGAGGAAAGACCATTAAAACCTACTCGAATCATAGATAAAACCTGACAATAATAATGATAACATATATTTAGCTTCTTCAGTTGAAATCGTGCCAAAATAAAATTGGTCTGGTTAAATGGTATGTGTGTTTTAGATAAAATGCATTTTCAAGATGCATATCAGTTAGAAAATCTTCCTTATGCTGTGTCTGTTGCATCATGAAATTGTGTCAGTTGTGTACAATTTATTATTACTTAACTTTCAGATTTATATCTATCGGTAAAAACAGCCATGACTCCTTCTCTGTGGCATACAGCATCTTGTGATTGAGATCATATTATTACATTTTCCCCTCTCCCTCTTAAGAAAAACACATAAGAGAACCAAACCAAATGTCTTTATTGTTACACGTTGAGTTGTG